TCTCCTTTTTTTCCTTCCTTTTTTCTCCTTTTTTTCCTTCTTTTTTTCTCCTTTTTTTTTTTTCCTTTTTTTGTCTCCTTTTTTCCCTTTTTTTCTCCTTTTTTTTCCCTTTTTTCTCCTTTTTTTCCCTTCTTTTTTTCTCCTTTTTTTTTTTCCCTTCTTTTTTTTCTCCTTTCTTTTTCTGTCTTCCTTTTCTTCTCTCCTTTTTTCTCTCTTCCTTTTCTTCTCTCCTTTTTTTCCCTTCTTTTTTCTCCTTTCTTTTTCTGTCTTCCTTTTCTTCTCTCCTTTTTTTTTCTCCTTTTTTCTCTCTTCCTTTTCTTCTCTCCTTTTTTCTGTCTTCCTTTTCTTCTCTCCTTTTTTTTTTTTCTCCGTTTTTTTTTTCTCTCCTTTTTTTATCTCTTTTTTTCTCCTTTGCATGCAAATCTCATCGAAAACCAATAGATTACTAAAGTTATGAAAATTCACATACGACAGAATTCAACTTCAAATACTGTGCTGATTAAACCAAAATCGTTCATTCTGGCATCATTCGACGAACACTTTAGTGTTCGTCCCTTCAGATAATTTCACACGAGCTGCCGTCCGCTCTCGAAAAGCTGTTTACTAACGATCAGACTACTTTAAAAGCGTTATTTTCTGTCCGATTTTCTGATTGTGTGTACTAGGCATAAGAGTGATGTCATAGTAGCGATTCTAACACTGGTGAAAGTTTGCCAGCAACAGGTCCTGTAAAATGTGCGGGGGATACCTGCTTGCATGTGTTGCTCCCTTACTGGCTGGAAGAGTGCTGCAGAATGAAAGTCGCCGGCAATAAAGTGGGATTTCGCTCATCAGACGATGAGAGAAGACACATTCAAGCTGATGAGTGTTCTTATTCCATGTTGTGACCCACATGGAAAATCCCGATGATGGCAAATTTTCACTAGCGTTAGGATCCCTAGTATGACATGAGCTATGATGAGTGCTATCACCTTGGTCAAGGAGGCTTTCCCTGCTGTTAGCATCTGTTGCAATTGGTGGCCTATCTTTGGGCTAGTGTTGACAGGCTTTGGGCTTCTGTTGATGTCCTCAGTTTCAGATGCTCCTGAGATCCTTCAGAATTTATTGACAGATGTAGTTGACTTCTTTCTGCATTTGATCCGCCTTAAGCAGCTCTTGCTTGGGAATGCAAAGCCCGTCTAAAGCAAGCAAAAGTTCATCCGCACAGTCTCTAAAACACAACTTTCTAGCGTTACTGGTGTTGGGAGCATTTGAGTCTTTTATATTGCTGTCTTTGTCGCTACTTTTTTTTTTCCCGGGAGGGGAAAACTGACCGTGTACACTGCGAAGAGTGCAGGAACATGAAAGACCACTTGCCTTGGTCCAGACTCTGACAGCTGAGGTAGTCTGCCTGGAAGTTTGGCCCACAGTCCAGCTCTTAAGCCAAAGAACGCATCGTAGAATAACTCCCTGAAGGTCATCTGTCCAATGTGATAGACAGACCCTACATACTGTAGTTCCAGGACATTGCACAGACATGGGGGAGCTAGAAGGTCCACATCTGGGGTGCCCCACCTCAGGCAGCTCTGTTGGAAGACCTCCGGTTGTAATACCTAAGATCAAGATTCTACTGGGCCTTGTCCTTCAACAAATTCAGAGAAAGGGATTTTACGAAGAGTAGGAAAAAAATAAATTTTTGTTTCTTTATAAATGGCTGGACGGTGGCAGTGCAGGGTCAGGTGACCGTTTATAAACGGCCTCCCCGCCCCCTGCTTGTGCGCGCTCCCTGGGAGCGTGCAGCACTGTGTTCCAGTGCCCGCTGTGTCCTCCGGGCACAGTGGAACACCGATCGTCGTTCGGGACCTCTGTGTGAGGTCCCGATCATGTTATCACTGATTGGCCAATCAGTGATCACATGCAGAGTAGTAAGCAAGATGTCACTTGTGACATCATTGCTTACTACGTGTGAAATCTGTGAATGATCACAGAGGTCACATGGTACAAGGCTATTCACAACAGCCTTGTACCATGTGACAAGCTGTGACCAATCACAGCTCACACAGTAGTTCTCAATGGCTGTAAGAATGCAGACAGAGAGAAAGAGAAATGATTGCTTTTACATCCTTTAAGGGTGTAAAAGCAATCAGTGTAAAAAAATAAAATAAAATCATCACCCCCCCACAAGTATTACACTGTCCCTATGGTGACACTGCACTGCTAGGGTGACCATATGTAAAAAAATAAATAAATAAATAAAATAAAAATGTTTAAAAAAGTTTGGTTATAAACTAATTATTTTTTTTTTTTTTACTAAAAGGATACCGAAATACATTTTGGCCAAGATTTATGATGAAAGATTATTTATTTGCAAAATTTTAGAAGAAAAACACTTTTCAAAATTTTTGTACATTTTCATTTACCGTATTTTTCGCAGTATAAGACGCACTTTTTCTTCCCCAAAACTGGGGGGGAAATATCAGTGCGTCTTACGGAGCGAATATGGAGCGGCCGGTCCGGTATTTCCACCGCGGCCGTGTCAGAATACCGGGCCGGCCGCTCAGCTCTGCAGCGGGACCTTACCTGTTCCTCTATCCAGCGGCGTGCTGTCTTCCCGGCTTCTGTAGTGTGGGCACTGGGCATGACAGCTGGGTGCCAAGTGCGCATGCGCAAGAAGCGGTGCTTTTTGTGAATGGTAAGGCGGTACCTGGGACACATGACAGATCCCAGAAGCCACCGGACCAATCACAAAGCGCAGCGCTTCTCGCTCATGCGCACTGGGCACCCGGCTGTCATGCCGAGCGCCATTACAGAAGCCGGGAAGACAGCGCGCGGCTGGATCGAGGAACAGGTAAGATGAAACAAAAACTCTGCGGAAGTAAGAGCGGGTACCTGTCAAATTCCGGTACCCGCTCCCCACCTCCCCAAAGGTCAGCAGTCATCTGTACTGTCTGCAGTCTCTGGTCATCCCTGTGCTGTCTGCAGTCTCTGGTCATCCCTGTGCTGTCTGCATTCTCTGGTCATCCCTGTGCTGTCTGCAGTCTCTGGTCATCCCTGTGCTGTCTGCAGTCTCTGGTCATCCCTGTGCTGTCTGCAGTCTCTGGTCATCCCTGTGCTGTCCGCCAGTCTCTGGTCATCCCTGTGCTGTCCGCAGTCTCTGGTCATCCCTGTGCTGTCCGCAGTCTCTGGTCATCCCTGTGCTGTCCGCAGTCTCTGGTCATCCCTGTGCTGTCCGCAGTCTCTGGTCATCCCTGTGCTGTCCGCAGTCTCTGGTCATCCCTGTGCTGTCCGCAGTCTCTGGTCATCCCTGTGCTGTCCGCAGTCTCTGGTCATCCCTGTGCTGTCCGCAGTCTCTGGTCATCCCTGTGCTGTCCGCAGTCTCTGGTCATCCCTGTGCTGTCCGCAGTCTCTGGTCATCCCTGTGCTGTCCGCAGTCTCTGGTCATCCCTGTGCTGTCCGCAGTCTCTGGTCATCCCTGTGCTGTCCGCAGTCTCTGGTCATCCCTGTGCTGTCCGCAGTCTCTGGTCATCCCTGTGCTGTCCGCAGTCTCTGGTCATCCCTGTGCTGTCCGCAGTCTCTGGTCATCCCTGTGCTGTCCGCAGTCTCTGGTCATCCCTGTGCTGTCCGCAGTCTCTGGTCATCCCTGTGCTGTCCGCAGTCTCTGGTCATCCCTGTGCTGTCCGCAGTCTCTGGTCATCCCTGTGCTGTCCGCAGTCTCTGGTCATCCCTGTGCTGTCCGCAGTCTCTGGTCATCCCTGTGCTGTCCGCAGTCTCTGGTCATCCCTGTGCTGTCCGCAGTCTCTGGTCATCCCTGTGCTGTCCGCAGTCTCTGGTCATCCCTGTGCTGTCCGCAGTCTCTGGTCATCCCTGTGCTGTCCGCAGTCTCTGGTCATCCCTGTGCTGTCCGCAGTCTCTGGTCATCCCTGTGCTGTCCGCAGTCTCTGGTCATCCCTGTGCTGTCCGCAGTCTCTGGTCATCCCTGTGCTGTCCGCAGTCTCTGGTCATCCCTGTGCTGTCCGCAGTCTCTGGTCATCTCCTGTACTGTGTCTGCAGTCTCTGGTCATCTCCTGTACTGTGTCTGCAGTCTCTGGTCATCTCCTGTACTGTGTCTGCAGTCCATTAGTTCAGAATTTTTTTTTTTTCCTGTTTTCTGCCTCTAAAACCTAGGTGCGTCTTATGGTCAGGCGCGTCTTATACGGCGAAAAATACGGTACATAGCAAAAAAAATAAAAATCCCAGTGGTGAATAAATACCACCAAAATAAAGCTTTATCTGTCTCAAAAAAATACTAAAAAATTCATATGGGTACAGTGTTGCATGACCGCGCAATTGTCATTCAAAGTGTGACAGTGCTGAAAGCTGAAAATTGCCCTGGACAAGAAGGGGGTGAAAGTGTCCGGACTTGAAGTGGTTAAAAAAAAACAAATCGCAAAATGTCCGTTGGTTCCTTTTAATAAACTATTTCTGCTATTCTGGCTATCGCTACATTGGAATGGATTTGTAAATGCGAGCGATCCAGAATACATAAAGATGGGGTCCAGGCATTACCCCGGCCATTTAGGAAGTAATAGAATTCAATCAGGAGAACTCCACCCTGCTATAAACCGCTGCTTGAGGTGTGCAGTTCTTTCCCGTGTTGTGGAGAATTCACAGAGCAAGAGGTGAAGTTTCTTCTTCTGACCAATTAAACATTAATACAGTCAAGGCCTTTGGAGAGATTGGAAGTTGTCTGGCAGGCAGCTTCTTGGATTTTGTACATTTTGTTATACACGCTTATCGCCTCTCCAATGTCACTTTGTCCCTCTTAGTATTTTGATAGTTCTTATCCAGAGCATGGCACGGTATCTTCTGTCTGCACTTTCTCACACAGCCGGTTGTGGCCAGGATTGTGTAGGCCGTTGTTCGGCAAATACAACGTGTCGCAATTCTCATAACTCGGAGAAATAACACATCATCCGAAAAATTATCTTTTACTAAGCATGCTCAAAAACAAGCTGCTTAAAGGGGAATGTTCTTATTTTGAAGGAGTTTTTTAACCACTTCCAGTCCGGACACTTTCACCCCTTCCTGACCAGGGCAATTTTCAGCTTTCAGCGCTATCACACTTTGAATGACAATTGCGCGGTCATGCAACACTGTACCCAAATGAATTTTTTACCATTTTTTGAGAGAGAGAAAGCTTTATTTTGGTGGTATTTATCCGCCACTGGGATTTTTATTTTTTTGCTATGTAAATGAAAAAGTCCAAAACTTTTGAAAAGTGTTTTTCTTATAAAATTTTGCAAATAAATAATCTTTCATCATAAATCTTGGCCAAAAAGTATTCTGTTATCTTTTTAGTAAAAAAAAAAATAACCCAAATTAGTTTATCACCAAAAATATAATTTTTAAACATTTTTTTACATTTTTATTTTATATATATATATATATATATATATATATATATATATATATATATATATTTTTTTTTTTTTTTTTTACATACCGTCACCCTAGCAGTACAGTGTCACCATGGTGACACTGTGCTACTTGTGGGGGGTGATGATTTTTTTTTTTTTTTACAGTGATTGCTTTTACACCCATAAAGGATGTAAAAGCAATCATTTCTCTTTCTCTCTGTCTGCATTCTTACAGCCATTGAGAACTACTGAGTGAGCTGTGATTGGTCACAGCTTGTCACATGGTACAAGGCTGTTGTGACTAGCCTTGTACCATGTAACCTTGGTGATCATTCACAGATTTCACACGTAGTAAGCAATGATGTCACAAGTGACATCTTGCTTACTACTTTGCATGTGATCACTGATTGGCCAATCAGTGATCACATGATCGGGACCTCGTACAGAGGTCCCGTCCGATGATCGGTTTTCCACTGTGTCCGGAGGACACCGCAGGGACCAGAGCGCGGTGCTGCGCGCTCCCAGGGAGCGCGTACAGCTATAAATGGCGGGTGCCGTTTATGAACGGCAACCCGCCCCTGGAGTGCCACCGTCCGGTCGTTTATAAACAGGCAGGCGACAAGTGGTTAATTGACAGGAAGGGCTCATTGGGCATACAATACAATGATTTGTACAGATCTGAATGCAGCAGTATTGTATTCTGGGGCCCATGCACACAGGTCCGCATTGGAAAGTTGCATGAAACAAAAATGAAAAAAATCTGCATCCAAGGACAAACATATGAAGCATATTTTACTTTGTAAACCCTTTTGGCAACTATATTGGTCGCTGTTACTGCTAAGGTCCAATATGTAAATATCACCTACGTGTGATCAATGGCATCTGCCCCACTGATTATGCACTGTTGATGATTGTGTTGGACAACTCACTCTGTTAAAAAATAAGTCAGCAGCTACAAAAACTGCAGCTGCTGACTTTTAAAACACAGCCACTTACCTGTCCCACGATCCCGCATTGCCCCCTTCCTCAGCCCGTTTCACCTGCCGTCCTGCATTCCAGGCGCCGGCATCTTCAGTGTGGGCACCCGGCTGTGACAGCTAGCAGCTTCACAGCCAGGTGCCCACTGCGCATGCGCGAGTAGCACTGTGCTTCCTGAATGGCCCCGTCGTCTTCTGGGACCTGTCACGTGTCCCACAAGACTTCGGAGAGGGAGGACAACATCCGTTTCCGATCGCCTATATGCGATCGAAGTAAGAGCAGGTACCTGTCAAATTCGGGTACCCGTTTACCCCCCCTCCCCAAAGGTGCCAATCCTTAAAGGGGAGTGGGGGACCAATCTTTAAAGCGGAATTTCCCTTTTGGGTGGAACTCCGCTTTAAGGCTACATTCACACTTGACTGTTTTTGCAGTTTGAAGCTCCAAAAACACTCATACTTCATAAATAAATAAATAAACAAAATCAATTGTTCTCTATGTGCCTGTCCGCGCGATCAGGTGTGAACAGGCACCATAGAGAACAATTGATTATTTAAGTTTGAGCTTTTTTAGAGCTTTGAGCTTCATGCTACGAAGTGTGTGAATGCAGGCTCATGGGTGCCTTTATCCTACCAACCAAGGGTGCTAAGTAGTAGGGGCTGCCAGTGTCCTGGCAACTAGGGATGCCAGGAGACAAGAGCTGTCTCTCATGGCAAACAGAAATGTTAGGTGTCAGGAGATGCCCCTAGCAACCAAGGTTGTTTTGTGGCAGGGGCTATTTACTCCCTTTTTACTTTTTGTTCATAACATCAGTGCTCATATTTATTTATAAATCCATTATTCTATTAATTCTGTTTATTGTTCTCAACAAGTTATGCTCCCTTTGTATGGCACTGCGCCTTTAAATTCTCGTTGAGGGGCATTGTCCCACGCTGACAGCATCCTCTATTTAAGTTGTATCCGCTCCCAGTACCATTTGACCGATAGAAGGAGCTAGAGGCTCCGAGCGTGTAGCCTGCCTGTCCTACGTCTGTGTCTGCTGACCCTACTGAAACTCCGCCTCTTCCAGTGACGTCACTTCCGCCGGTGCGCTCCAAGCTGGTTGCGTGGTCTCTTGTACAGACGCCACTGGATCGGCCTCACTCTGCAGGATACATCCCCCACTGTGCCTTTACACATCTGCATCAAACCTAGCATACGTCCCCTATGCCACCGGTGGTACCTGCAGGACGTTGAGGAATGGTCACCCTGTGCACACAGATGAGCTTGTCTTTTTATTATTCTTGAGAGTGTTTTTAATCCTTTTACCATTAATACGGTTTTAATCACTGCAGTTAGATGGGCGCCTCCTGTCTATTTCCTTTTTGCCCTTGTATACAGAGTTGGCTTTGCTTTTAGGAGGGCTGCCGCTAATGTGCTAATTTGGACCGACTGTCCGAGAGACTTTTATAAAGACTTTGGTGTTTTTATGAACATTACACTATCATTTTACAGTGTTTTTCATATCGTTATTCCCTGTATCACTTTATATATATATTTTTTTAAATACAGTATCACTTTATCTCTGTGCGCCAGAATTACCTCTTTATTGTGGCAGGGGCTACCTGCATTCCAGCAACCAAAGACTCTAGGTAGCAGAGGCCTCCAGTATCCTAGCAGTTAGGGATGCTAGGATGCAAGAGCTGTCTGTGTCCTAACAAAAAGGAATGTTAGGTGTCAGACGCCTGCACCCTAGCAACCAAAGTTGCTTTGCTACAGGAGCTGCCTGCATTCCAGCAACCAAGGACACTAGGTAGCAGGGGTCACTGATATATTACCAATTAGAAATGCTAGGAGGCTGGAGCTGTGTTCTAGCAAACAGGAATGTTTGGTGTCAACACTCCTGCACCCTAGCAACCAAGGTTGCTTTGTGGCAGAGGCTGCCTTCATTCCAGCAGCCAAGGACACTTGGTATTGGAGGCCTATCAGTAGTCAGCAAGGTCCTGGTGCTCAAGTCTGATGGGGCTTTTGCTCATAAAACAGTCTTCTAAGGAAATAAATTCACCCTGCTGTTCCATTTGCTGGGAAGAGGAGAAGGCCCCATTCACATGGGTACCCGGGGCCAAATAGTTTGCTATCAGTGTGAATGTAGCCTAACTTTTTATCATTCTGGGTTTTTTTTTAATTACAAGTACTGTAGCTGCTGACTTTGAAGACACATTCTTTCCAGCCCAAGAAGTCCAGCGCTGTCTTTCTAGAATCCAATTACATAGTTACATAGTTAGTCTGGCTGAAAAAAAAGACAAAAGTCCATCCAGTTCAGCCATAGAAAAAAAAAAAGTTATAATCCTATACCCACAGGTGATCCAGAGGAAAGTAAAAATGTTACTGCTGTTTTTGTTCTTGGGAAGCCATCTTGGATTCAGGAGCTGGCTGTTACTTTTTGATCATTCACAGCCAGGTTCCTACAGTGCAAGATTCACCTCCTGGAATGTGTGGCCGGGTGGAAGGCTGACCAAAGTCTATGTCATCCTTGACTTGTCAAGGAATGAGTAAGTGGGGAGCCTGCTGAGAAGGTACTTGCTACCCCCCAAAAAATCCAATTTTGTAATAGGGATTTGGGAGGCTTGGGGTAATGTCTTAAAAGTGAGTCAAAGTCCACCTCAAGTCAACTCAACTTCTACAGAAAATGTTAGGATTTTCCTACTATTTCAGCAGCGTAAAGGACCATGTCGATTTTATTTGCTGATCGTAGGTAATTGTGGTCCCCTGTGTTTTTCATTATATTCATACACACCACAAAATTGGCCGCTATGCCTACCTCCTGTGCGGACAATGCCTGGAAGGTTGCAGTCCAGAACAGTACAAAACAATTATGCATTTAAAGATGATCTCAGAGCACTCGGAGGAGGAAATCTATGTAGGAAGACGTCTCCTGTTCTACATTTGCCCTGACACAGGCATTCCATGTATGTGAAACGTGCTATTTACAGTCATTTTTCCCACTGATGTATGGTTTAGCTTCATAATTGAGCTTGTGGTGAGCCAGTTAAAGGCAGGGAATTCCTGTCACTCTGGCATTATGGTTTCTGTTTGGCTCCATCTTGTTCGCCTTGAAAAAAATGGCAACCTTCCAGAGGAAGTAATATCACGCTGTGATTTACCAATGTAAAAATAACTCTTTTAAGATTTGTAATAGATCCCTGTGCTATATGTCATATATAGTTATTTATTCCGTATATTTTTTTTTTTGGTTTATGGTTTTTTTTTTTCTTCTGCTGATGGAATGTAAGAAAAAAAATGTAGAATGAGAATCTGGATATTTTCAAACCCAAAAGGGTCCTTTAACACCAGGCCATTGCTGTAACACACTTTACACGCGTTAGTGTGCCGCAGTCAGGGGCGGACTGGCCATTTGGAAACTCGGGCACTGCCCGAGGGCCAGGGGTCAGTAGGAGGCCCCATGAGATGCCCCTGGTACCTTTTTCATAGGCTTTTGAGTTTGGGCAAGGACACAGGGGCCCCATGATTCCCTATTACCTGGGGGCCTCATGAGTTGTCAGTCTGCCCCTGGCTGGAGTGCGATTTATTTTGCCCTAAATTTGCATATATTGTAGCCCATTCATTTTGAATAAGCTGCTCCACCTCCACTTCTGAAAATGTCGCTATAGTAGGAACAGGTACTTAGGTGATGCATAACCACTTTTGTAGGCTAGAGTGGGAAAGGCCTATAACTTTTTTTTTTTTTTTTTTTTTTTCTTCTTCTTTTAAGAGCACATTCACACTTTTTCTGTGTGGTTCATTGTGGGAACGCATGTTAATGCCACCCTTACATAGTTAGACCATGGTAATCCATTTATCATATAATGATAGTAACTCCTTAAAGGAGAAGTAGGGCTCTGGAGATCCGCCCAGATGCCAGGACCGGCAGCTTGCTCAGCCTCTCAGTATGCCACTGAGAGCCTGGCTAGCGGCTCCTTCCCCCTCCACAGGCCGGCGCTCCAGTGAGCCCAGGGGGGGCTGCAGACTGACCATCACCGGCCCTCTCCTCACTAAAAACCGAGAAATAATCGATCAGTCTTTATTTGTTCGGTGCTCGGTCTTAAAGGCATGGGGGATATATGCAGTGTAGGACTGATGCCTGGACCACCAAGGTGAGTATACCTGTTTTTTTTTTTTTTTTTTTTTTTTTTTATATTACCATATCTCTCTTTTAATTGCTACAATGGTCTACAATGTTAACCCAATCATTGTCAATTCATTGCAGCACACCACAAAACACTGTAGAGACCACCAAAGTGATTTACAATGTGCTTTTTAAGGAGGGGGAAAAAATCACTTTTGTTTTCTTTTTGCCCATCTGCTGCATTGGTGCCCATTCATTTAAATAACCTTCCTCTCCATTGGATCTAAAGAATTGATGATAATGAATACCAAATATTCATATCCATTCTTACTTTTTTTCCCCATGAAGATAGAGTTTTTTTTTTACTCCTGAAACAAGTTGGATGTGTTTTTTGTCTATTTTAGATTTGTGGTCTCTTTCACGATTTTGGTCTGGGACTCTTTTTGTTTTTTCCCAATTCATGTTCTAAATTACAATCTGGGTCCCCATTGAAGGGTAACCATGTTTGTATGTGAGCTGCCAAGCCAGTACGCTCTATGAATGTTTTTATTATGGGCAGCATAGTGACTAAGTGGTTAGCACTTCCACCTAGCAGCACTAGGGTTGTTGTAGGTCGAATCCCAACTATGGCACCACCTGCCTGGAGTCTGCATGATCTCAATGTGCCTGCGTGGGTTTCTTCCAGGTACTTCAGTTTCCTCCCACATTCCAAAGAGACATGCTGCTCCTGTCTAAATTGGCCCTAGTATATGTATGTATGAATGTGAGCTAGGGACCTTAGATTGTACACCCCTTGAGGGTCAGGGACCTTAGATTGTACACCCCTTGAGGGTTAGGGACCTTAGATTGTATGCCCCTTGAGGGTTAGGGACCTTAGATTGTACGCCCCTTGAGGGTTAGGGACCTTAGATTGTACGCCCCTTGAGGGTTAGGGACCTTAGATTGTACGCCCCTTGAGGGTTAGGGACCTTAGATTGTACACCCCTTGAGTGCAGGAACTGAGGTGAATGTACAATGTATGTGTGAAGCGCTTCGTAAATTGATGGCGCTATATAAGTACCTGTAATAAATAAAATGAAAATAAATAAGCTCCAAAGTGCCTGTTCATGGATTTATTCCCTTGGTCATTCAAGGCCAAACAGCGAAGACCTTGGTGGGGCAGCAACAGATAAATGTGCTCTTGTTGGGGGTCTCAAGGGATGGCAACAAAGCCTTTTAAAGGGCCCATTTATAGAGCAGTGATCTATCCTTACTATGACCATACTGCTGCTTTTAACAAAACAAAAACGCACACTTTGTGCATGGTGCTCTGGAGTTGGAAAGCAATATTCATATCAGTGAATGGTTAGCAAGGCAGTATAATTATACAGGTTATGGTGAAAAGGCACTAAAGGAATCGGAGGACCCTCAACTCCAATCCGAGGAGAATGGATGGTTTGTGATTTGTGACATTTTTACATTTTTATTTCTTAAAATTGATAAATGAATGTGATACTTACCAGCTCTGTGCAATGGTTTTGAACAGAGTGGCCCTGATCCTTCTCTTCTGATCCTTCTCCCCCCTACCAGCACTTCTGGCTCTCCTGCAGTGAGTGCTTCCATAGGAAACTGCTTCCTATGGGGCACTAGTGCGGGTTTACAACTGAGACCTGCTGCCTGCATCTTTAGACAAAAACAGAGACTCAGCCCCGCCCCCCCCCCACTACTCGCTTGTCATAGGATTTGATTGACAGCAGGGGGAGCCAATGACTCCCACTGCTACCAGTCTGCCCAGCGAAGAGAGAGTAGAGAGCCGCTGCTCTCATGCACAGTGCTGGATCAAGATCAAACTCAGGTAAATGTGTGTGTGTGTGTGGGGGGGGGGGGTTTGTTGCACAGCAGAGTTTTTTTTTTTTTACCTTTATTAATACCAAGAATTAAAGCGGAACTCCACCCAAAACGGAAAGTTCCACTTGTTGGCACACTTGGCATTTTTTGGGGGGCAGTAGGTACCTGGTTTTGACAGATACCTGCACCCACTTCTGGCTGAGTTCGCCGCAGAGATCTCCAGCCCCCCCTCCTTCCCCTAGCAGCCTTCTGGGACACATCACAGGTCCGCGTAGACTGTGGGACCAATCACAAAGCGCAGCGCCGCAAGAAACCAGCTGTGAAGCCGGAAGGTTTCACTGCCATTTCCCTTAGTTAAGATGCCGGTGCCTGCACCCGAAGCCGAAATCTGTTGGGGTGAGCACATCGCTTGACACCTGCATAGGTAAGTGTCCTTCTATTAAAAGTCATCAGCTACAGTATGTGTAGCTACTAGGTTTAAATTTTTTTTTTTTAAGATCAGAACTCCCCTTTTTGAGGTAAAAAGCTTTGAGCCCTTAGAACAACTTTAAAGGAAAAGTACTAGAAGAAGGAGCACACATAGCAAAAGACCTGCCAGTCACGTGACCATCCTTTCCACCAATCACGGGGCATTCTCTGCAGTGATATGCAGAGAACACTCCGTAGAACCGCTGTAAATGTGGGCTCGCTCTTTAGCAGTTCAGGTTGATGCTGCTTGGGGATTGCTTCTCACAGGATGTAACTGCTTTGTACGGAGCTACTGGTCATCCCAATTTAATATTTTGATATTAAATATTTGGTACCAGCTGAGCCGGCAACATTGTTCATCCTGGCCCGATGTTTATAAAGCAGAGTCCTCCTGATACTAATGGCTTAACAGAGTTGGCAGCGTGTATTGGATACAGGCAGTGTGTATTAAGTGGGTCAGGCGGAAAGTCATTCACCGTCCGCCAAAACAGGAATCCCATGACAGCTCGCAGCCTTCAGCATCTTGACTGGGATTAATTTAGAGATGGAAAAACGATCAGAGACCTTGCAGGATATCATCCGTTTTGCACATATGGACTTCACTTCATTAAAGCATCCCATGAACTTACATTCGGAGTATTTCTTTAATTTTCCATTTATGTTGGATTGTACATTGACGTGTTAGCACGCTGCCATTGACGTGGACTTTATTTAAGCTTCAGGTCTTAAAGTGACACTAAGTTCTCCTTATTCTCCAGCAATGGTCCATACACTGCTGCTTAACCACTTCCAGTCCGGACACTTTCACCCCCTTCCTGTCCAGGCCAATTTTCAGCTTTCAGCGCTATCGCACTTTGAATGCCAATTGCGGGGTCATGCAACACTGTACCCATATGAATTTTTTTAGCATTTGTTTGAGACAGATAAAGCTTTATTTTGGTGGTATTTATTCACCACTGGGATTTTTATTTTTTTTGCTACATAAATGAAAATGCCCCAAAATTTTGAAAAAAAGTGTTTTTCTTATACTGAAATGCAGCCAGTAGCACAGGAAACATCTCACGAGTAGAAGGAAAAATGGATTCCATAAAATTTCAGCAAATTTTGGATGGTAACTTGATGCCATCTGTGAAAAAGCTGAAGTTAAAGAGAGGATGGCTTCTACAAATGGATAATGATCCTAAACACACCTCGAAATCCACGGGGGATTACATCAAGAGGAGTAAACTGAAGGTTTTGCCATGGCCTTCACAATCTCCTGACAACATAATTGGAAATCTATGGATAGACTTTAAAAGAGCAGTGCGTGACAGACAGCCCAGAAATCTCAAAGAACTGGAAGACTTTTGTAAGGAAGAATGGGCAAAGATACCTCAAACAAGAATTGAAAGACTCTTGGCTGGCTACAAAAAGCGTTTACAAGCTGTGATACTTGCCAAAGGGGGCAGTACAAGATATTAACTCTGCAGGGTGCCCAAACTTTTGCAGACGCCATTTTTTTGTTTTCTGTTATTTTGAAAGTGTAAATGATGGAAATAAAATCTAACTTTTGTTGAATATTATAAGAATGTCTAATCTGTAATTTGATGCCTTTTGGAGATTTTTCCATCTTTCCTTGGCTTCTTTATGCACATTAATACAAATTTTTAGCTGGGGTGCCCAAACTTTCGATCCCCACTGTATATATTAATGTCCTATTTAGATCTCCTGACTTTAGATGAGCCTGTCACTTCAGCTTGAGAATCAGAGTTGATGTTTGACAGTTGCTTGTCCTTCAGTTACCTGACCCATTAGTAATAACATGTAGTCTTCTGGATGCTGAGTGTGCAGAACTGTATCCGATAACAAAGTCCCATAGATATTTACAGTAACTCCTACCTCACCCTATTGTTGATTTCTGCTGTGTAGTTGTTGGTTTGAGATTAAAGGGTCTGTCCACCTAAAAGTGCTAATTTAGTTAAAGATGGAGTTTAGGGAGCGGAGTCTACTCTCTTAACCTGTCTCATGACAGGCTCTCTTTAAAGGGAATGGTCTGCTGCTTGGATGGCTGTCCAGATTACCCGAATGTAGCTCACCACTGAACTCCTAGGCAGCGATCATCTGACTGTCAATGTTCCGATTGCTCTGAGTTGATGAGATCGGGTTGCCGTGAGCGCAGGGCGATGGACATCATTGATCTTCTTTAAGCCGATTGGTGTGTCTGCAGACAAGCCAGGTGCAGGTGACATGCGGTGAAAGCGGCTGTCCTGTTTGGCGGAGGGGAGGCTGGATGAACACCAGACACTGTCGAGGGAGCCGGTTTCCTATCATCGCAGACTTTGCACTGTTAAAGTAAACATTTAATGCAAAGAACCGAAAATAAAACAGATGGTAATCTGTATTTAAAGAGAATTTGACTTGTGACGCAAGTGTTGGAAAGCTCTTGACCTGATGTGCGTTTTTATAACAAAGTGCGTTTTCTTAAAAAATACTTTATTTTATTTTTTTTAAATACACACCACAGGACACAGTGACATGTCTTAGTGCTTTTTTGCAGCTTTGTATTGCTGCATGTTCCGTTTTCACCCAGCAGTGCAGTGGGCCTGTTTGCAGGGGGTCTCCAAGCTTTCTGGTTCAACAATTTTTATTCGGTTTTTCCAAATGAGCACCAAAATCGTCCATGCCAGGGGCTAAGGAAAGAACATCCAGAAATATTTATTTCAGGTACTTATATAGCGCCGTCAATTTACGCAGCGCTTTACATATATATTGTACATTCACATCAGTCCTTAACCCTCAAGGGGCGTACAATCTAAGGTCCCTAACCCTCAAGGGGCGTACAATCTAAGGTCCCTAACCCTCAAGGGGTGTACAATCTAAGGTCCCTAACCCTCAAGGGGCGTACAATCTAAGGTCCCTAACCCTCAAGGGGGTGTACAATCTAAGGTCCCTAACCCTCAAAGGGTGTACAATCTAAGGTCCCTAACCCTCAAGGGGTGTACAATCTAAGGTCCCTAACCCTCAAGGGGTGTGTACAATCTAAGGTCCCTAACCCTCAAGGGGTGTACAATCTAAGGTTCCTAACCCTCAAGGGGTGTACAATCTAAGGTCCCTAACCCTCAAGGGGCGTACAATCTAAGGTCCCTAACTCTCAAGGGGCGTACAATCTAAGGTCCCTAACCCTCAAGGGGCGTACAATCTAAGGTCCCTAACCCTCAAGGGGCGTACAATCTAAGGTCCCTAACCCTCAAGGGGTGTACAATCTAAGGTCCCTAACCCTCAAGGGGCGTACAATCTAAGGTCCCTAACCCTCAAGGGGCGTACAATCTAAGGTCCCTAACCCTCAAGGGGCGTACAATCTAAGGTCCCAAACTCACATTCATACATACACATACTAGGGACAATTTAGACAGGAGCCAATTCACTTACCAGCATGTCTTTGGAGTGTGGGAGTTAACCGGAGTACCCGGAGGAAACCCACGCAGGCACAGGGAGAACATGCAAACTCCAGACAGGAGGTGCCTTGGCTGGAATTTGAGCCAACGACCCGAGTACTGCCAGGCGGAAGTGCTAACCATTTAGCCACTGTGCTGCCCATAGGAAACACAAGGCGGAGCCAATGGGAATCAAAACACAGGAATGTATCAAGTAAACGGGCAGCCTGAATGGAGAACCTCAAAGCTTAGTTCCATATAAGCCAAATGGTGGGTTTCCCAAACATGGTACAGCCCAATACAGAACAAAAGACCATTAGAGAGATTGGGGGTTGAGGGACCCTAAAGATAAGGAGGAGAAAAGACGGGAAGCAAAGTAGACATGGGGGAAGGGAGGTAAAGCATGGACTCGGGACCACCGCACCAGCAGTCATAGGCAGCCAGTACAAACCAGATGTAAGGAGGGGAAAGTATACCCAAATTTTGAGAAGCTTGGAGTAGGAGTCCTTCAGCACACTAGACATCTGTTTCTTAACCACCTCCCATCCGGCCATTGTATATAAACGGCCGGACGGTGGCAGTGTCCGTTTATAAATGGCCTTCCCGTACCCTGCTTGTGCGCGCTCCCTGGGAGCACGCAGCACCACGATCTGGTGCACACTGTGTCCTCTGGACACAGTGGAACACCGTTCGTTGGATGGGACCTCTGTACAAGGTCCTGATCATGTGATCACTGATTGGCCAATTGGCCTGGGCAGGAAGGGGAGGAAAGTGTCCAGACTGGAAGGGGGGTGAAAGTGTCCGGACTGGAAGGGGGTGAAAGTGTCCGGACTGGAAGGGGGTGAAAGTGTCCGGACTGGAAGGGGGGTGAAAGTGTCCGGACTGGAAGGGGGTGAAAGTGTCCGGACTGGAAGGGGTTAATCATGAGGACCATCAGTGATCACATGCAGAGTAGTAAGCAAGAGGTCACTTGTGACTTCATTGCTTACTACGTGTGAAATCTGTGAATGATCACAGAGGTCACATGGTTGGTACAAGGCTATTCACAACAGCCTTGTACCATGTGACAAGCTGTGACCAATCACAGCTCACTCAGTAGTTCTCAGTGGCTGCAGGAGTGCAGTCAGAGAGAAGGAGAAATGATTGCTTTTACATCCTTTGTGGGTGTAAAAGAAATCTGTAAAAAAAAAAAAAAATCTTAATCACCCCCCCCCCCCCCCAAGTAGTACAGTGTCACCATGGTGACACTGTACTGCTAGGGTGACAGTATGTAAAATAAATAAACAATAATATAAAAAAAAGTTTAAAAATTATCATTTTTGGCTATAAACTAATTTGGGTTATTTTTTTTTTACTAAAAAATATATTGGAATAAATTTTGGGCCAAGATTTATGATGAAATACTATTTATTTGCAAAATTTTATAAGAACACTTTTTTTTCAAAATTTTTGGACTTTTTAATTTACATAGCAAAAAAATAAAAATCCCAGTGGTGAATAAATACCAGCAAAATAAAGCTTTATCTGTCTCAAAAAAAATGATGATAAATTCATATGGGTACAGTGTTGCATGACCGCGCAAATGTCACTCAGTGTGATAGCGCTGAAAGCTGAAAATTGGTCTGGACTGGAAGGGGGTGAAAGTGTCTGAACTGGAAGTGGGGGGGGGGGGTGGGGGGGGGGGGGGGGGGGGGGAGTGTCCGGACTGGAAGTGGGGGGGGGGGGGAGTGTCCGGACTGGAAGGGGGGGGGGAGTGTCTGGACTGGAAGTGGTTAATCATGAGGACCATCAGACTTTCCTGCACCCTGGAATGAGACCACTGTGGTTTTTCCAGGCCTGGGCAATAGTTCTCTTGGCTGACAGGAAAAGGTACAAAGCCAATTTCTGTTTGTGGACATATAGACCCAGGATAGGACAGTGTAATAAAGCCAATTTAGCATCCTTGGGACTTTTCAAATGAAATCGGGTGCAACAGGCCGAAGACTTGGGACTAAGGCTGGCCATGCATTATACAATTTTCTTGAGAATTTTGCTTTAGATTTACCAAAAACCATATAATAGGAGGTCAAACCTAGACAACACTTTCAGTTGTATCCAATTAAGAGGCGCTTGTACTACATAGTTGGAGGTAAATCTAAAGGAAATTGGACAGAAAATTGTATAGTGTATGGCTAGCCTAAAAGCCTGTTAATCATGGGTAAGCCCACCAAATGTGAAGGACATCTCTACAATGGCCACAACTGATTATTATTATTTCAGGTACTTATATAGCTCTGTCAATTTCCGCAGCACTTTACATATATATTGTACATTCACATCAGTCCCTGACCCTCAAGGGGCGTACAATCTAAGGTCCCTAACCCTCAAGGGGTGTACAATCTAAGGTCCCTAACCCTCAAGGGGCGTACAATCTAAGGTCCCTAACCCTCAAGGGGGTGTACAATCTAAGGTCCCTAACCCTCAAGGGGCGTACAATCTAAGGTCCCTAACCCTCAAGGGGTGTAC